ACCTCGGCGAAATATTAGTATTAAAGCCTGATTTTCTTTGTCTAGACGTATAAAGTTATGAGATTAGTATAAATATAACGTCTTTTCACAGTCGATGCCCGTTCACACCTTTGTTCACATACAAGTCTTTATAGCAGATGAACTTGAAATCATGTAGCGGTGCTTTACAACAGAAATATATATATAATTGGAACAAAAAATATATTTAAAGAAAGTTCTTAAAACTAACGCGTAAAAATAACCTTGAAATAGCAAATTCTGATCGGTATTAGGTCACGATTTTCTGATATATTAATCACTAAAACAAGCTGTACTTTAGCGGTACGGCGATGCTACGTATCAGAGTGTCTTATAATAGTGTGTATCGTCTGACGTCTTGTTTTGGAATAACAGCTACATGGCGTAGCGGTGTGGCGATAAGAGAAACTTGTTCCTGCAATATTTCATAAAAAAAAATAGAGCTTTTTCAAGCAAAAACAGCAGCTAATATCTTTCGTTTTATATTCGTTTTTGTAGTATACTTATCTTTCAAAGAATAATCCGTGTTGCGTAATGCCGAGAGTTGCAATGCTTTGTCAGCCCACATTGGTACGGTGAGAGATAAAAGTCGTGAAGGAAAAGATTTCACGAAGCATTTGCTGGCATTGAAATATTATCACGGGGCAACAACAGTCCGCTCTAGCGCTAATAACCTATGCAAATTTAAGGTAAGGCGCCTCACGAAGGCGGAATAAAGGACAATAGTCTTCTGCCAAGTCAAGTAGTTTGCTGGCCGACCGGCTGGTCGTCTCAGAGCTAACACCCCGCTCAATTGTTCCGAAGCTTTTCGAGGTAAAGACTATTGCCAAACGGACCTCTTCACAATAACGTACGTATGTGTCCTCGTGGTTTCTATTACTGACGTTTTTGTTCTTCACTGGAATCAGACAATAGCAGAAGCATTACCTCGGAGTCGAATTTCAACACATTGGAAATCATAGAACTGTGCCTGAATTGTTATTCAAGCCGTGCGATTTAAGGCTAGTATAGTAGCTCTGCAATCCGACTACTGCTGTATTAAGCCTCTAGTTACCTGAGAGGTTCCTGAAAGAAACTGCATTTAACATTGATGAGACATGCGCGTATTTTTTTTACCAACATGTACCCTTAGGCAAGTGTGGCAGAAGAAAACAAACGAATAGTCGGCCAAAATACACTAGTAATACACTTTTAAGCTACTTATCTATCCACGTAAATCTTAGATACATCCTGTAATGATCTGATATTGACATATGGATAACTGTGCCCTATGGTGTCGAAAGATTAGAACCGCGTATTTTATGGTTTTGCCATAATAACGCTCTTTTCCTCATAATGCATGCGGTGACGACTTAAACTAAATGAGCACAGTATCTCTAATAATAAACAACGTAAAGTCAGATTCGAAATTGGGAATAAGAACTAATTGTCGAGACGAGACGGAGTTTCTCGTAAAAGAAGGCAATAGCGAACGTTCAAGTGCACGTTACAAGTGTAGTTGATTCGTTTGTTAAATCAAAACGTACATGGGAAAATATCGTGCACGTGTTTAGAGAATGAGAAACTTTGATAGCATGCACGTCTGTTTACATTGATGCGAGCAGGCAAAAAGGTTGTGAATAAGGGGGACATTATTTATATATGTTTGGCGATTCATTAGCTTACTATTGAAGTTAAGTATCTAGGAATATATCGGTAAGTGTAACATTCTTTTTTTGTCGCGTTCTTGACCTATTGTGGCAACCGAATATACTAGTCTCAGTGGGATAAGCATGTTCTTATTTTGGTGACTGTTTTTGTTTGAGGCTAAACAGAAGGGCCTAAGAATAGTTTCTTAAAAATGAAAAATTTTCCCTTGAAGGGCTCTGCATTTTTATTAAAGAAGATAGTTTTGTGCGCATGCGAATCCTTCGAAATTCCTAAGGATTATACTGTCGTGGTGAAACGTTGTACATATACGACCATGTATTATTACACGTTAGATGTGATTCACGAATAAATGTGTCGGCTGCTGGCGATAGTCGGGTTGATTTACTAAGACGACGAGGACGTTTGCCCCATTTCATCATACATGATACACAATATCTGGCAGGTTTCTATGTTTTTATTTATGGATTTATGTTTTTATTTATGTTCTATGGATTTAATTAAGTGTTTTATAATATTAAGCAATAACAATCTATAACTTGTCGTTGTCGTAGAGCTTATCTAAAAATCACATTTAAAATAATGGTGCTTCTACTCCGTAGATGAATTCGAAGGTCGAAACGTTGTGCCAGCTAGATGTACTGACAATACATCTGTATGGTTGGTTCAGCCACTTAACCTGCCATAGAGTAGCTTTAGTAATAATTAATCCATTACCCTTAGTACATGTCTTGTCCAGACCTACTCCTTAATGGCTCGAGTTTATGTTCACCCCATTTGATTGTTGTCATTGCAGTCGATTCGTTTCCATTAAGAAAGCGGCACATGGCTATCTCGTTGGACCAATCGTGCCAGGATGCTTTGTTGTATGAGTATATTAGTCGACGAACAAGCAAGCAAGCCGACGGGCTAGATCGAAAGCATCACACATTTCATATTGGTTACTGGTTGCCATGCTTCCATCTGTGTGCCGATCGTTCGCAGACCGATTGAGTACAGCTTGTCCATCGGAAATGAGCGACTTAATGGTAGCAGAGACTACGCTTACTGCTCGAAGTCTGTCAATGCGCGAAATAGTTCCTACAGGGGTTGTTAACTCCTGCTTAACCTTTGTAGATGAGCCTCGACGCTCCTACGCGTGTGACAGTCCACGCCAAACCATAACAAAGTGACGTTGTTCAAATTGCAGCGCTTTGGAAAGATACGATTTTCTCCAAACCGGGTAGCAGCTCTTCGCGTTGCGGTTGGGTTTTTCCCACGGGTTTAGTAGTATTCTGCTGTATGAAGTCCCCGGATGATGAAAAAGAAGTAAACATCTACCAAGTAATACACGGTTTTTGACCTATGCTGACACGGATGACGAAACAACTTCAATTGGATGGAGACTTTGCTGAAACAAAGGCTATGTCCATTTGACCAGATCATTGACATAAGCATAGCGAAGCATGTGACCGTATACGATTAAATAAACACTGCACAAAAGAGTATCGTAGCTCAAACTCATTTGAATCCTCAAACCGATCTGTTGAAAGGGTACACATTATTTTAGGCTATGCACTAATACAGTTAAAATTGTCCATAGGCTAGAAATAAATTTAAACTATATTAGGATTGATTGTACCTATAATTGGTATAATATACTAGTACATATCATCCTTTAACCTTTAAAGCTATAACGTGAAAATCTCAAAAAAGCTGCATTTAGTATCTACCTTCTCTAAGTATAGTTCTTGTCAGTTTTATAACGTGAAAATGCGTTTAGGAAGAAGACGTTTTCCTCAGCTGAGAAGACAGCTTCCGAAACATCATAGTACGATAAGCATTAGACGTATTATTAGGCAGCCTTATACCGTTGCGGGCTTTGAAGAGTCAGAGCTTCTTATATCGGTCGCTTTATCCAAATATCTGTTCCCCTTGATAGGACAATCGTTGTGTGGTCACAGCGAGTGAATTCCTGTTTGCTTGCGTAGCTGCTAGTATGTGCCGGACTGCCGCGTTAAATAATAATAAATAAAATGATCGGCTTCATTTTATTGCAATCTTTCTTACTTTTCATTCATTGCAAAAGCCCTAGAGATGTGATGGCGGACCATCGTCATTGATGCTTCCGTGTCCCCTAAAATGGCACTTTTATCCGATGAACGTTATACCATCATGAACGATAATGTGTAGTGGTCTTTTAAAAGATTAAAGGCTAGCTGCAATGAAAATTAGAGTAATTGTAAGGGCAAGAGCCCTGTTTTGCCGGAAGGCTTGGGTGTGGCTGACGTTTCCATAGACAGTTAGATTGCGATTTTTAGCGAGCTACCTAATTGTTTTACATCGAGTTTCGACCTGTCTTCAGTCGAATAAAATTCTCTTGCCTAAAGTTTACTCGTATTCTGTTTCGTCTTATTCAGCTGTAGTTCTGACATAAAGGTCCTATACAATGTAATAGCATCGAAACGAAATCTCCATGCTAGTGACAACTCTGTTGACAATTAGGCTCATTCTAACAGGCCATCATGATAACCCAACTATTAAAATCTAAACACTCTGTTTAGTGAGAAATAGGTGTGATTTATTTCCGACTAAAGGCGTTTTAGACTAGATGTTGGTAAGCAAACTTACTTTAAAACTACAAAATATAGGATCCTTACGAAAAAGCTGTCCTAATAGATGTTTTGCTAGATAATATGCAAGAAAAATTATACTTTTGGTAATAATGATGAAATCATAAAATTCTCCTTGTAAGAGTAATATACCGTTTGCTAATAGGACCGATCAAAAGCCAGTGAAGTTCGAACGCTACTCAACTTCACACTAACGTCAAGCTGCAGATGCAGCAATTTTTATGCATCTCGACTTCAAAAAGAGGGCAATTTTTTAATTATATAAACCTGCTTTCGATCCAAACTGTCGCATTATAACCTCTTGTAATTTGTAAAAATCTCGTTTCCCATACATCGTCGGTATCTGTAACCACTTCCTACACAACTTGTTTTTTAACCGCATACGAATCCGTCACCGTTGAGCCTGTCATTAGCTGCTTATGTAGTTGAAGTTGTCCGGCCGGTAATGGTAGTATTTTGGTAGACTTTATATTTTTAGCCCATAAGAACAAATGGAGATCTCAAACGGATTACGGTGCAGACGTCCGCAGTGGGCTTAGGTCTTGTAACAGTGAAGGCTACCGCCATGGGACTTGGTCGTCGGAGATCATGGACGAGCTGCGGCTCAACTTGCATATGTACTGAAAGACACAATTAGTGATAATTTATGTGAATTGATTGACACCTTTTTAAAAACCGTTGTATTTATTACTCCGTCACCTCATGCGCTTACTTTCCTTTCAGGCGAGACCCCTCGTACGTAGGAATCAGTTGCACAAATTATGGCTATGCAGACTACTCACGTCTAAGTCGAAACTTTACTCCCGTCAGCCGAGTAGCTTTGGATCCTCCACCTGAAGGAGCGCCGTTTGCAACTGCCCTCACGAATAACGCCTTCCACAACCTTGTATGTACTTGATATTATCACCCATATATACATGAGTGTTTTCCTATATAGAAGTACATTTGCATACTTCTGATGACATTCCGAACATATGTGGGTGAAATATTTAGTTTAGGTATATTTCAGCGGGATTCTGACTTGAAAGTCAGTCGATAACAAATTTTTGTTACACCATTACGCCTATTTCCCTAATCACATTAAATAATTTAAAAATTCAAAAACTTCCTTTACAAGAAACTCTGTTAGTTACCACGTTATTTTTCGAAATATATTGTTTGGAAGAGTTTGCATAAAAAATTTGCGAAAAGCTTAACACATGTACTTCCAACATCTGCTGTAAAGATGCTGTCATCAATGCAACGGAAATCTACTAGAATCGAATTCTTGTTGTAACCATATCCAAATTACCTTGATTCATCAAAAATGAAGCCTCTTCACAAACAGCTAACGTGCTACGTAAGCCAGTACAAAAGATCCAAGTCTATTTTTTAAAATCATAGTGAATCATGTTTATACAATATATATCTTCTACGAAAACACTATTAAGTCTGCATGCTCCGTTACGCCGTCCCATGATAGAATATGAGCATCGATGATCGACCAGATGTCTGTTGCCATAACTAGTCTACTGATATTATGCTGAGAGTGATACTATTGCATGGTTAGCTGCTCGGCCTAGACAGAGGTCATAATTTTTTAGCAACTTCATCCGCATATATCACACGACTATTACACTAATATATATATATATATAAATAGTGAAACGTGAAATCTGTCTGAAAGCATCTGGAAACGTAAACGTTTGCAAAAGTGTTGATAGTTTTCGCTATGATTCTGTATGTATAGTACAAGTAGAAAAAAACAATTACTTTCTAACACCGGTGAACTAGTTTTTATCCATCGCATTTATATAGTGTAGCTCTGGCGGTACTGCCGCATTTTAAATAAATTTATGACCTCAATAATTGAATATTTGATTGGCTTTTTATTTTAATCCGATTGCAGAGTGCGGTTTGTTCACCTGTGAACGAGATTCGAATTGAGACTGCGTTCGAGGTAGCAGCTCCTCAACAAAACGGAGGTAACTCGATAAAACGGTTTTCCCAAACATTGGCTCCAATCAGTGCATGAAAAACTAACCCAAATGAACTTTGCGGGTATTTGCGGATGCTGAAACCGATTATGGCAAAGCGAGAAATATATTCGTAGAAGAAAGATATTTTGTAGTTGAGCGGCTTCATTTCGCAAATGCCAGCCCTTGTCTCATATTTTCAAGCAAAATCTGTGACACGTGATCGAAAATTAAACAACCGTTATGCTGCAAACGGAGATAATCAAATACGCACATTTGCTAAATGGCCATCTTTTATATACCCAAGTTATCATCCTGGTGTTTCTAGTCAAACATACAATATACGCCATATTTCTTTCATCTTTTGTTTCCAGGTAAAAACGAAAGACCATCGATAATAGCTCAGCGTATACAGTCATTATATGGTGAAAAGACCAAAGAGGAGTTTAAGAAACGTTCGAAGAGCGCAGGGCCTTTTCAAAGAAGTCCCTACGAAATACCCAGGTACAGTATATAATGATCAGTACTACAAACAACACACACGTTTTATGCATTTTTATTGAATACTAGTTAGAATATTTAAACGAATTATTTATTCGACGAATCCAACAGTCTGATTAAATAACAACTTGATTCCTAATTGCATTTTAGCTAGGGCTATCGGTTTTAAGGAACAATGGTTTCGCTAATATATTCTCTTGACTGATCACTGGCTTTGCCTAGCTTCCATGTCGATTTCTTTAACGAAAAGGTACTTTGTCAATTACAGTTATAAGGCTGGTGTTCTAGACTCAGGCAGCAAATTTGATATAGAGAAAGAAGAACTACGGCCGTCCAATTTTCCAAAAAGCGTCAAGGAAAAAACAGCATTTGTAGAGAAGCTGATTAAGAAGGATGTTAAGGAAGGAGTGAAGCCGCTTGAAGAGCTCAAAAAGCCGCCAAGGTTCGAGATCCCGTCAAGGCAAAAATCCGAAGAATATTACAGACAGCAGCGCGAGATTGAAAAACAAAAAGCCCTGCTTTTCAGTCAAAGGTAATTTAAAGCCGTGTTACTCTCGAACCATATCTGCTAGCATACAGAAGACTGCAATGAAGTGGCTGCAGGTTACGTCTGTAAGGTAGACTTCTATCACTATCGTGGATTTTCCTACAAACATCTTTCAAAACAATTCAATAGCATTTTTTTATTTTACTAAGATATGTAATATCACGAAATTAAAGTAATAATTTTTGCCTTTACTTAAAAACTTATAGATATGATATCTGAAAGAAGTCTGCGATTAAAATCCACATGAGTTTTCAGGAATCGATTTTTTAAATATTTAAAATGTTTCCATCCTTAAAGCTACAGTCAAGTCCTAATAGGTACTTTTTGCACAAGATAGGATTTTTTGTTACGAGTCTTAGATTGGAAGTTTTTTTATTGAAGGATTAAGAAGAGTATCCTGTTCCTTTATGCATCATTCCAATGCGTCCTTGATCAAGGGGTACTACAGCTGCCGAAAAAAGGCTCTTTCGTTGTTAGGCTCTACCTTAATGTCCGGTATCACCGTTAGGCATTGAGCCGGTTTGTTAAGCTCGCCAGCCTTGCCGCAAATAATCTTCTTTTTGCCGGCTGAAGCTTATTCGTAAGGCTGTAATCTTTATTTCAGTACTTTTTGGACATGCACTTATCGGAACATAATATATATGTTCCGATGTTTAATATATAAACATTTTGACAAGTCCGCAACTGTTTATGTAAGTTAAAGATCTAATGATAATTTTTTAGTGCTGCAAAGAAGTCCGACGTATTGTTTTCAAAAATAGTTTTTTTTTTGTAATGTAACGTCTGTTCCTCAGAATGCTTTAACTGTTCATCGTATGCGAGTATTACAATAGCACATATTGTAAACATATCTTTACAGGTTAAAGGAAGCTGAAGAACGCCGCAAGGCTCAGGAAGCCGTCGAAGCAGAACAGCGAAGGGTCGCTGAAGAACGGAGGGTGACTGAAGAGCAACTTCAGGCAGAGTCAGAGAAACAGAAGCATTCAAGGAGCACAGTTGAAACGATACCTCAATACAGCAAGGTAACCGTGACGTAATAATCATAACAACCACCAAAAACGGTTGCTTGAACAGCGACAGTCTTGATATTAATTAAGTATGAACTGATTGATAACTAAATTAAGACTATGTAGTGAATGTATTTATTACCAGATTATAGAGACGCGTCACTTGTTAAAGACAACCTTTAAACGTTACGGTATCGTGATCGGGTTGCTCACTGAAGATATTTGATGTCTACCGGTGGCCAACCATGGCTACTTCTTTTCGGTAACAGGTTGAGCGCGAACAGGTCCAAGTGGTAGAGCTTATAAACACAAGTTTGGGAAGTAGCGATTCCCTAATCGAAGGCGACGGGGACGCTGATACGGTGGCAACCGACGGAAGCAGTGCTCACACCAGTCGTAGTGCCAATATAAGTGAAGATCAAGGCGTAGATGAGATCGACCTTGAACAACTACAACGAGAGGTTACGATCAGAACGGAGGAAATCACAGAAACCCGGGTCGAGGAACTGGAAGATGGAAGTTTTATCAGCGGTTCGACGATTACGAAGACAACCACAGTGGTGAACAGTTCGGGCTGTCAATCCGCCGGGGTCGAAGAGGTATTTGGTGAGTAATTAAATATCGCCTTTGCATTTGTTCAGCATTAAACGAATTATCAGTTAGTATGTCATTTATTACCATTAAATATACTTGGCAATCTTCTGTTTCTACGTATAGTTCTAATCGGCATCGTAGATTTCATCCAGTAAAATTTATTCACCTTTGTTAGATACCAGCAGATGAGACCATTAACGACAACAAAAACAGCATTTGTGATCTAACTGTAATAAGTGGCTTTATATTTTAAGTCGCTGGAAGTCAGAAAATAACGTAGTTAACAATTCTGTTTCGTGACGCGCGTCGGGTTGCAAATTCACTACGATACAGGTGAGGATACCACGGGCGAGCTAAGCTCTCTGAATAAGGACAGTTATATCTACGCAAAGGAGAAGGAGAAGAACGTCACAAGAGAGATTGGCGAACAGGGCAAGCAGGTGAGTGTCAATAGAATGAAGGACGCCTGTTTACTTCTGCAAGGATATTATCGGAGATTGCTGATCGTTGGGTTCAAGGAGTGACTTGCTTTATTGCAGGCAAGTCCGCATCCTGATACTTGGGAAGGATCATCGGGAATAACAGAAATTGAAGGAAGTGACGAAGCAATGGCGGGGAGAGAGTTTCTCACAAAACTTGACGATGCTGAAGATCGTATCCGCAAGAGGGTGCAAATTACAGAGGAATATCTAAAGGAGACTCACTCAGAAGAAGTTCGTTTCTATTTGTCAAATTTATTAGTGAACAATTGTTTCCTTGTAGGTTAAACTAGTAAGTTGGAATAGTGTTAGTTTGAGAACACCAGGCTTGTTCATATATCTGATGAACAGAATCTAGTTCGCAGCTTTCTGCTAGCGCAACATACTTATTGCGACAATCTCTGCTATTTCAGGTCCATGGTCGTCTACGGGCTGCGATTGGCAAAGGCAATCTGTTGATCGCACAAAAATGCAAACAATTCCGTGGTCTATGTGAGAAAAACTTAGGGGAGCCGGTTGAAGGCGAGTTTCCTACTACTCGAGGTGATCTCGAAGGATTTTGGGATATGATCCTTATTCAAATTGATCAGGTAACTGCCTATTATAGAAATGTTCTTGGATCTGAATTGATTTCCAGCATGACAGATACCACTAGTACGTAAAATGTTTTAGTGGCTAAAGTTCAAAATGATGGTGTGCAAAACAGAATGGAGTATACCTGGGTAGCAGCAAAGGTTTCGCACATATTTACCAGCTTATAAAAATCGTTTCTCTACTTTAGGTGTTGGGTACGTTCACTGAAATCGAAGCTATGCGCGCCAATGGCTGGAAGGAAGTTCCTAGGGAAAGTTCTCATGCCAAAAGTACGATTTCGGACTCGCCTGTCAAAAAGAAACTTCCTAATCCGCTCAGACCCCGAAACGGGTCAGCTAGTGCAGACAAACAACGCGAGGAGGCAAGGAAGAGACTAATGGTAGGTCTAATATAAGAAAAATTGATCTTTCTATACGCCGTTACCCGCTTAGTATTCCGAATTAGACCTCCGTCATATGACTTGATGTTTTTGTTCTTTTAGGAGGCGAAACGTGCCGCCAAAGAGCGTGCCGACCAGCCAGGCGGCGACACAGACGTAATTTTGTGAAGGCACCCTAAGGATCCGTTGGCGTTTATCACTAAAAAGACGTGACGATGAAATTAATAACCACTATAAGTAAAATTAAGTTTTGTCAGTTTTACTCACGATTGATTCAATTTATGCTACTGCTTGCAGCAAGCAGTTCACGCCAGCTTTAGCCTGAGCCGGCCAGGAAGCTTACTTCAGGACTAGTACAAACGACAATGCTTCAGATCATTGTCGTTATGTATCACGACCAGCAACCATTACGACGAAGAGTTATCATCAAATTTTGTGAAAAATGAAAACTGTTAGGACCCTACGCCATGTGTGGAGATATTCGACGATTTAGGAAGTATCTGCAACAACGTTACAACTATTGCAACTCGTTGATGTATATTTGCGCGTATGTCGTTTTTATTTTAGATATACGCAAATTATAGTTTATAATCGTATTAATATTATTATATTAGCAGTAATATAGTAAACAGTAGTTTAAATGTTCTAACTCGGTTACCAGGGGGTGAAGGTGTTGATAAAAAAAAACATGAAACAAATTCAGGGAGAAACTGTGACGGTGATGAGAAGCTGGTGACCAAAATGAAGAAGAATCTGGCACAAAAAAAAATAACGAGAACGGCGACAACAACATAAAACTAAAAAAGAAAACTATTAGGTATGTAGTGGTGTGAGCCATAATACAAGGCAAGAACACTTCGAACTGTCCATTCCAGTACGCTTTGTTCGTCGTCTATCAAACATTTGTGTTTATTTATGTACAGGTTGTATAATTAAACGTAATTTTATGTCGAAAAGTTGCATTTCTCTTGCGAAGTCAAATTGGATCTATTTGCTTTATTCGAAAATTGCATAATAATGTATTATTTGCGATGTATGTATTTCACTCATCTTGCTCGGGCACTGTATAACACGTTCCCATGTAACAATGCGGTCCACTGTCTGATTCCACGAATTTTATTCTGTCCATTATCATTGGCTGGCTAAGTTTCAGATTGATTCTGTAGAATCGTGGAGGGTTTGTTTCGATGCGGTTCTCAATAATTTTTTTTTGTGCGATGTCATTTCTTTTCTAACGTTTTGTTGAAACTGAGCACTTCGGCATGAGCACGTACCTGTTGAATATTATTCTACACGTTGCAATGAGTTTCTGGTCGCCTAACTGTTGTCTTATACGAAAGGAGTGTGGTTCTTATACCATCAATTTTCTAGCTTTCCTTTGCAAAGGTATTAGTGCGCATGAATCGACAGACAGATGCGATAGATATGTGGGTTGTATAGCGGCGATAAGAAACTGTTTTAAGCTTCGTGTATAGTATTTGGCTTTCTATCTACCAATGTAGTACGGCCAAGCGAGAGGATTCGGCAAATTTAACATTACCATAACTATTATTCGAAATTACATGCAAGTCGTGGTCACTGACAGCCGAACAAACATCGACTTATAAACGAACGCGCCATAAAACAGAACGAGTAGATAATGGCCAGCGTTTGTAGAATCTATTATTTATCAATAAAAACACTGAAATGATACTAAATAGTTTATATATA